CCCCCCCCGGCGTAATACATCTGAGTACTCCAACCCTCCGAGTGGTGCTTGTTCTTGACTGGCCTGTCGTTTCCGTAACAAAACCACCAAAAGTTTTGGATGACAGGTCTTCAGTTCTGATTCTCAGTTGAAGTAAGGTCCCTCAAGGTCCCAATCATATTCCACTTTCCCTCTGAAAGCCTGCCTATTCTTATCTTACCAAAGCATTTTGCTTTTACCTATTTAGTTATATTGTTGTTGTTGTTTTTAAGAGTTGTTTGATACCCATCTACCTGACCTACTAAACTCTCTGAGAGCAGGAAATGAACTGATATGTTATCTGAATCATCTTCGTATAAGTATTCATTAAGTAATATTGATTTTTTTCCATAGGTATAGTAGCAGAGTGACTTGGGCAAAGTCCTTTAGTCTTATCAGTTCCATTTATCAATTTTTATCATATATTGTTTCTCATTTCCATGAAGAAGTAGAGAGAAAAGAGACATCCTGTCCTTTTTGCCCTTCCTATGAAAGTTTTCCAGAATTACTGAAGAAGAAAGGAGAAGCTTATAAAAATGGGGAACAAGCCAAGTAATGCCAATAATACATACAAGGATCTAGTGCATGTTTAAAGCCTCACAGCTCTTCCTCAAATCAGATGACAAGAAGTTTAAAATGCCAGGGGTATTAAACTGATGTCTCAAAATGAAAACAATGTGCTCATAAACTGAACATGCCTTATTGTTGATTCTGTTGAGGAAGGAACAAATTTTACTTTACCCTTTCTAGGTTCTTCTGGCTAGTCTGAGAATTAAATTGAAATGAGACAGATTAACAGGAGGAAATCTAATTATTTATGTATGGGGGACCCATGAATAAAATGAGATACAAGGACAAGTTAGACAAACCAAGAGCTGGTTTTTTGAAAGAGTAAACAGAATTGACAAACCTCTGGCCAGGCTCACCAAGAAGAAAGGAGAGAGAACACAAATAAATAAAATAAGGAAAATGGAGAAATTACACCAATACCACAGAAATACAATTGAGGCCTATATGCCTTCTGAGAGAAGGAGAAGGCAGTAGGTAGGGATTTGGGACTTCAAAGGGAAGGAAGGCAATACATAAGGAGAAAGGAAAACAAATGCTTAGTAAACAAAGGTTTGCTGAGCCATGCAGAGACAATGGGACACACAGACTTTGATTTCTAGGCCCTGCCAAAGACTTTCCCCTACCACACCTACCCCATATTCTTTGTAGATATCTCTGGTGATAGTGTTCTTCCTGGACCAGGTCATGTATCTAAATTCTTTAAGACAGGTAAGGGGGAGGGGGAGGTAAAAAGAAAGACTTCCTGAGTCTTTTGTTTCTTAAAAATAATCAGCCCCAAATAATCCTCAAGCTAAAGAGATGTATTTTGGGGTAGCAAGTTTTGTTCCCCTACAGTCCCATCTTTGAAAATTCTCCAAGAAATTTTGTATTCTAGAGATTCAGTTGGTAGATTGTTCCATCCCACTGAACTAGTTTCTTAGTCCTGACAATAGGGCAGTTCAATTCAATTCATTTCAGGAGGCAGTGATGCAGGTGGGCTTCTCAAAGTTAGGCCTATGGTGTAAGTAATCAGGTGTTTAGTAAGAAGCATGTCTATGAAAACAAAATTAAAATAATGGCTAATGATTAGAGCAGACCATAATTCCAGTTTCTGAGTTCTGAAGGCAACCAATCAAAATTTCTAGATGTCTGATCAGAGTTATTTTAGATGTATGAGGGAAGACAGTGACAATCTGATAGATTTTTCTAGTTTGCAGTTTGAATGTCCCTGGTGTCTTTTTGAGTGGCCCATACAGAAACAGGCATGAAGAATGTCTACTCTTGAGCTGTTGGTGTGATTTCTCTGA